CAATACAATCATCCGAAGAGTTGAAATTCAAGGAATGGATGCGTTTAAGCATTGTAAAGTTCACATCTCTGTAAACCATGTAGAGGACGTGAAGCTTTTGCAAATATATTTAGGACTTTATAACTTAATTTGTAACAGATCTTGGGCCTTACTTCTCCTTATGCTATTTGATGTCTACTATCTAATTTTTGTTTGTTTGTTTGTGTGTGTGATGGTGAAGACTGTATCAATCTCTATGTTTACAATTAGCCTTTTGAAATCTTCTCTTGATGAGTAAACCTCTTTGTGTGTTATGAGTTATATATTAATAATCCACTGGTAAAATACCACATCAATACTACAATAGGCAGAAGGTATTAATTAGGGCTGTTCAATATGGTAATACCGAACCGAACCGAAATAGACAATATGGTTTGAATTTGGTATATACCATATAAACCGAATGGATATGATTTTATAAAAACCGTAGGATTTGGATATGGTTAGGTTTATAACCGATTAAACCGAATAACCGAACAAAACCAATCAAAAAAAAAATATATACATTATATAACCATTTATTTTCTTGGAATAGTCTTTTTAACTTTTTTATTCCTTGTGAAGATATATCTTTATAATTTTATTTTATTTTCTTCAACTATTATCTAAATTTAATTTGATTTTGTATGTTGTAAAAAAATTGTGAAATTAGATGGTACCATGTAATTTATTTGGAAGAACAAAGAGAAAAAAAAAACTGAATTGTTAGTCGTTTTGTTTGTTGTTAATTTTTCACATTTTTATATTTATGAACACCTATGATTATTTTAATAAATGATAGTTTTGACAATATGTTTTTTTTAAATTCATATAGTATGAAACCAAATCAAATAATAATTTTATTTGGTACAAAACCGAATAAACCAAAAACCGGTAGTATAAACAAACCAAATTAAATATGGTTCTAATATGGTAGCTAATTTTTGTAAACCAAATAACCGAAAACCAAAAAAACGAACCAAAACCGGACCGAACACCAGATTAAACATGTCTAGTATTAATACAAAGTGGCCATAGACGACCCCATTGATCAATTATTAATTAATGTATTATTTTACATTATTATTTATGTGAATAAAACTTATTTATAAAAAGCTTTAATTATATATTGCTAACAATTTATTGAATTAAATTTTACATGTTATTGTCAAATGTCTTGATCTATAGATTATTAATACTAAAACATATTTAAAAACTAGGGATTTAGCGCTACGCGCCGGTTTTTTAAATTATTTTAATATGATAATTCAAAATATATGGTTTGGTTGTTATGTATATTTATGTGCTTTCCTAAATTTTGACATAGACTATTGTCAAGACCCATTTCTTGCAGTGCTATTTTATGAACCCATGTCAAGACTAAACTACATCACAATAAACGTTAAGAGCTTCTTTTTTTTTGGTATGAACGTTAAGAGCTTTTTTGATGTTATATAAGAGACACTCTTGAATTGGTGCCACCGGTGAATATGCATTTGTTCATCTGAAAGAAAAAAAAACTGACCTCTTTTACACTATGCACTTAGATTTAATTAATAAATAAGATAATTACTAATCTTCTGACAAGATATCATAACAAATTCTAACGCTTTTCGCCAAACTTTGCTTTGAAAAGTATTGTGATGACATTTAAAGTAAAGTATCATTTTTTCAATGTAGCAAGGCGCTTGTCTTTCCTCTCTTTCAGCAGAGCCTGCAACATTTCCCATACATATTTTGAAAAAGTAAACATCATTTGTCTTGAAACATTTGCTTTCTGATTTCATCAGGCATATATAATTCTAAATCAGCTTCAGTTCATGCCAAATAAGCAAGTGCTTTCTGCCCAACATGTTCTTCAGCCTTCGCTTCCGAAGAGCAAACTAATGCAGTTGCATGATCAACCTTTGCATCCCTCCAAAACCAAAATCGAACCAGCTTCAATCATACAGTCTCAGCTGAAATGGTTGATAGAAATATTGTAAAAAGAACAAACAACTTGATGTTTAACACCTTCTTTGCCATATTCTGTTTGCTCTGGGTTGCTCAAAACCTGAAAATCCTCTCCTTGTACATTTCATCACAAAGGAGACAATAATGGAAAAGAGAGAATCCTCAGAATTACATTCATGAGAGATCCAGTGAACAATAGAATAAACCTCAAGAAACAGTAGCAATGTGAACAAAAAAAAACCATACCATCAGCTGAAAGGTTTTGACAGTTAAGGATCACCAAACTTCTTGAGCCCGAATTAGATTCCAAACAGGAAAAGTTTCAAATTTCTTAACTCATGCTATATTTTAAGTAGCAATCTTTTTGTTCTCAGCTTCTAAAGCATCAAATTTTAGGTACTGTACGATCTCAAAACGCACTCCACTCACAATTTGCAATCTTAAGTTTAATACGGTAAAACGCAAGTGCTGAACAGCTTTCATATACTAATTTACCTCTCGTGCTTCCTTCACATATAAGGCTGATATTTAAGCATGACCTTCATCGGTCGTATAAACAGAGAATAGTCCACTGTTGTGTGGGTGTCAATCTATATCTTTTGCCTATCTCTTCTAAATCCAATCCCACCTGATTAATCTTAAACATGGTAGCTGAGGACCTGCTCAATCGTGGTAGTCAATCTGCATTAAAATCTAGATACTCAAAATTTCGAGTCTTAAAAAATATAAGGGTTCATGAGACTTATAATTTGTTGATAGGTTCACTTTTACAAAATGACATTTTACAAACACTATCTCAGCCAATATATATAGAAGTTTGTTGGTGAATATAAGCAATTTTATATTTCAAAGACTTATATCTCAGGCAAGATGGTGTCAGATAGAAATCCATATTAACTTGATACACTTTATAACTCAAGGAGCTATATAAGCCAATAATTATCGTAGGTAATTTCTACATAAATAACCATTACTTATGCATAGTTAAGGCAGCATACCTATCAGACTGAAGCTTCAAATAAATGATCCACTCCATCCAATGCACTGAGCAATAACCAAAAACCGAGACAAAGAAAGAAAGAAAAAGAAGAAGAAGAGTAAGTAGCTGAGTAGAGGGTATACTAGAAGAACTAACTTTGTCCACTCCCGTTCTTGCTGCATTCTTATGCATATAATACAATTTTCATAGTAATTCAGAACACACCCCAAACTACAGCTGTGAGACCGAGTTTCATCCACAGCACTGACAATAAAATACAATATCTCGCATTTTTGTTCATTTTTTAAGAAAAGAAATAAACAATAGTAAGTTAAGAAGCACCTTGTAGCACATAGTTCACAATTTGATAGAGGAAGAGCAACACTTCTCACACTTTCGTGTGTCCACTTGGTAGCACATGACACGGCTTTCAATAATGGCACGCAAGGAGCTCCTACGTATACACTATCAACTCATCATCTCCATTAAGCTTTGCAAAAAAAAAGCAATAGATTCAGACGCAGTGAGATTCTTGTATGTGGAAGATCAACCAAAAGAAGCAGCTTTACTATTGGGCTTTTACCTGTTGCTCTTGTCCAGAATCTTTAAAAGAAACTATGACGCTCATTCACCTCTGCCCTGACCTCGTGAGAACAAAAACACAAACCAAGGCTGAAACTTGTTAAACATCTGATCCCAACTATAAGAAAGAACATGCGTGGAGATTAGTCGATATCAATCTAAGACTGGATTTTAAGTCAGATAGTCTTTATCCAGGACTGTTGTTTCCTATTTCCTATTTTAAATCATGTTCACATCTCTAATACCTTTGCCGTGAAATCGGACATTGCATGTGGAGGTTAATTACGATTGAACTGATAGATATCTTCATATGTGCGCTAAGTAGTTTGACGGACTTCCAAGTGAAATTTAGTGTCCATGCATGTGGAGAAGACTCAATGTGGCTCTATATAAACGGTATGATAGTGATGTCGAAGGCGGTGAAGATGAACTGAAGAGGAAGAAGTAGGGTTTTTGGATTGATTGCCATAAGTAACATCCACCACAGAATCGAACAAAGTGGAGCAGAAACGTTTCTGTAACGGTTTGATAGATGGTGGTTGTCGATGAAATCAATGGGACTAAGGAGATAAGTTAAGTTTTATAACTAAACTAGTATTTTGGCCCGTGCCATGCACGGGCATTGCCATTTCGATTTAAAAAATTAGTAAATGATTTTTAATATTATACAAACTAAACAATATTTAGTTTTAAGTTAAAAGTTAGTAATTCAATATTTTGTTTTAAGTTAAAGGTTAGTTTATCATTTTATCAAATTAAACAATTTTTTTTGACAAATATATGTGTTANAACTAGTATTTTGGCCCGTGCCATGCACGGGCATTGCCATTTCGATTTAAAAAATTAGTAAATGATTTTTAATATTATACAAACTAAACAATATTTAGTTTTAAGTTAAAAGTTAGTAATTCAATATTTTGTTTTAAGTTAAAGGTTAGTTTATCATTTTATCAAATTAAACAATTTTTTTTGACAAATATATGTGTTACAATTTAGTTATTTAATACTATAAAGAAATATTATTTTATTATTTTTATTTTATGAGAAATATATTGTCAAATTAATATTTATACTATTTTTTCATGTTTTATTAAAGCCATTTATAATCAAATAAATCAAACAAAAATAGATATGATTTTAATAAGTAACTATATTAATAAACTATCTTAACGACCCGGTTTTCTCATACCAAATTTTAAATGGGTTAAATTATTTGGTGCTCTTGACCAGTTTGGTTTGCCCCACTAATTAATTATTAGTACTAAACCAAAGCTACAGCCTTCTTATATTATCAGTATACATGTGTGCAAACAAAAAAAAAAAGAGAAAAACAAAAACAAAAACGTGTGTGCAATTTTACCTAATTATTTAACGGAGTCAACTTCTCTACTTCTATTTGGAAGCCGACGTGAAACCTCAATTGCACCATCTTGCTCTCTCTTTATTTCGATTGCTTCTCTTCTTCTCTTTAATCATTGTTCATGAGCTCGTGCTTTTTGCCATTGGAGAAGACGTGAGCTACCACCATTGACGCCACCAGCCCATGTTCTTCACCGGAGAGGAAGCCATTGTCACCCGAGAACCATGTTAGCTTCACCGGAGTAGCAGCCCCTGCCTTCACATGCCTCGTTATGTACCATCCCGTCCATATCGTAGATGTTCATATAGGATCCGTGAGGTCAAGAACATGAGCAAGAGGAAGAGAAGACATACGATCCGGAACCACCGCGTCTTGACACCACCGCTGGTAGGTTGTTTTCTTATTTTAAATTATACTTGGTTCACAAATAAAATCTAAGAAAGATAATCCATTTGAAATAGAGAAACATGATCACTTGTAGGTAATATATACATAAAATGAAGGTTAGCTTAAGCATCAATGTGAATTGCCATCTGTTTTACTGCCCTTGATGCACATATCTGAAGATGTCCATCACACATGTACATGAACATAGTAGAGCACATATCTTAATAGTATATTGATGACGTGAGCCTCGACAACAGGTTTTGCCACAACTTCGTAAACTCGCTTATGAGAAGCATACTCAGTGAGTACTTCATCGAACTCAAAAGTATCAGTGTCCCAATTGTTTTTCCTTAGTTTCAACCTCTTTACCTAAAAGAACCAAACACATAACTAATCAAGCTCTCTCCATGTTTTCATAATATATGCTTAGTTTAAGTAGATCACTGTACCTCAGGCTGTAATTCAACACAATCAGCAAAATCAGCATCAGCGATCATTTCCTCGCCACTGCTTGGCCTTAACCTAACAGCTACACGAACCCTCCCAGGAACTAAAAAAAACATCATGCAATGCAAAAAAAAAAAAAACAGATCATGATCCAGTGACATTCTTAGTTACTGTAGTAAACCTAACAGATAAATTTTCTAGGTAAACAAAAAAATATGAACAGAGAAGTTTTTTTTTTACCACCAGCATCGCCGCCGTTCCAGACTTAGAACCAGCGGTGGCGGAGGAGGAGGAGNCCAGGAACTAAAAAAAACATCATGCAATGCAAAAAAAAAAAAAACAGATCATGATCCAGTGACATTCTTAGTTACTGTAGTAAACCTAACAGATAAATTTTCTAGGTAAACAAAAAAATATGAACAGAGAAGTTTTTTTTTTACCACCAGCATCGCCGCCGTTCCAGACTTAGAACCAGCGGTGGCGGAGGAGGAGGAGCTGACACCGAGTGCGGCGGGGCTGCTTTTCCGAAGCACAGTCTTAGATTTGAGGGAAGGTTTATGTGCAGAGGAGTGAAATCAAGCTTCATCTTGCTCATAGCTAGAACAATACCTGGAAAAAAATTATTCAGATTAGAGGCGAAATTGGATATAGAAAAAGGGGGAATGAAATCGTTGAGTTTCAGATTTACAAACTCAGGAAAAAAAAATCAGATTTACCTTTGCTAGAACAAATCTGGAGACCCTTTTTTTGTGATTAGTTAACGATATGTATATATAAGAGAGGAAGTTGGAGAAATAAATTTTTTTTTCTGTGAAGATATCAGAAGTGGAGGTGAGGGCTAAACTTACGCAAGGTGGAGAAGAAAGTGGAAATACTTTCTTTTGTCGACAAAAGTTCTAAAATGGGCTTAAAAGCAGAACTAATACATGATTTAAAAATTTAAAAGCCCAACTATAGATACTGAAACCGTTGCCTCACGTAAAAGAAAAGCAACACCTAATATCACGTGTCTTCTTTTGTAAAATAGAAAGATGTTTCTCGGGGAAGAAACAAATTTATGTAAAAAGTTGAGAAAGAAAATATTAGAGGACAGGTGTCAAACACACAGCTCTCAATTGACTTGTGCTTTATATAATAAAAGATGGGTCTAAACCTGTAAGGCTGTAACCTATGGACAAGTATTTCGGGAGTATGATGTCCCATGTGTCTTCTTTTACCCATGAAAAATTAAATTCCTTTATTATTATAGACTGATTTTCACGAATATAGTTTTCAATAACCATTATAAACAAATTTAATCAATATATTATAATAAAAATACGAGAAGAACCCTAATTTCAAACAGTAAATTAAATTATGATTTTTATATTACATAATGATTTTAAAAATATAATAATATATAACTAATTATATGATGATACATATAAAACAATATTAACTATATAATTAATGATATCCTAGCACATATAAAATACGATTAATTATATGATAACACAAAATAATATATAACAGTTACATGAAAAATAAATAACATTATATTTTAAAAAAAACATCCGCGCTAACGCGTTGAACTCTAGTTACTAATTAATACAACGTTTTGACTTTCTTAAATAAAATTTCTTTATTCTTTAGTTTCATTAGATATTGAATCTCTTATTATCAATTTTGTTAGTCAATATTATCCACATTTTGTTTATTAATATTACTACTCGACTTTTTCAGATTTTAACACTTACTACATCTCAATCCGCACAACCGTGCATGTATTTTTTCATTTATTTTTATATAAACATTTTTTTACTTCTAAATTAGTATATATTTTATAAGGTGTGTATATCGAAAATTATGATTAATTATTATATAGTATAGATTAATTATTGTTAGAAAATGATGATTTTGTTATTTTAAAAAATAAATTATATAATTTTTAAAGTTAACATCAAAAATATATAAATAATTAACTTATACTATTACAATATTAAATTATATAAGTTTAATTTAAACATGTATTTTATTATAATATCTCTAAATCCAATGATCATCTAATTTTTATTAGCCAAATAAAAATTTCTAGTAAGCCCAATAAATGTTATTAGTGAATCTAATGAATCATACACTATTAAAAGGGGCAAATAAAACCCTCTCTCTCACCATATCCACATCACCAAATATATTTGGCCAATAATAAGGCTTTAAACAGCCACCTCATGTTTGGTTTGGGCATGCGAAATCCGATTTCGATTTCAGTTCAGTCTACTAAAACTCGGTTTGATTTTCGGTCAATGTGAAGTTACAAAATAAAAAGAAGATCAAGCAAATGCTTTTATATCTACAGTCCAAAATTATCATCATCATTACTCCATGACCAAACAATAGAACTACCAAAGTTTTCAGCACTTATAATTACTAACAAAGAAATCATGGAAAAAAATAAAATCGTAAATATGTTCATATATTTGTTTATAAGAAAACAAAAATATATATACATATATATAGTAGAACCTCAGTAAAATAATAATGTTAAGACTTAGATATTTTAATACTTAACGTACATATTAATTTACCAAAAAAAAAAAACAAACAGAAGGACTTTTGTACTTCATTGTACTTCAAATTTAAATGTAATGTACAAATAATATTGTAATGTTAAATATTATTCTAATTTTACATACTTTAATCCTAAAAATAAAAATTGAAAATTTAAGATTTTATCTATGATCAATTTTGACGATTTCTATAATTTTCATTCCAACTTATAACTAATTTGGATATTAGATGTCTACAGTTTTAAAATTAAATGTATTAAAATTCTTTAAAAAGTAATTTAGATAAGAGATTGAATAATAAAACAATTTAAGAGTAAAAAACTTAACAATATTTAATCGATGTATTTTCATGTACTTTATTAGTAAAAAAAATTAGATAGAGTTTAATACTTAAATATAAACTCAGACAAGTCAATGAACATAATAGTACAAAACAGTTTTAAGTAAATAAAGTATTAAAACATAAAATATGCGCGTAGCTGTGCTTCAATTCTATGTGGTCTATCGTATACTTCCTAAATTTGTTAACATGCAAGTAATGATTATAAATTTTTAATTTCAAACAAAAATAAACTGAAATATATGTTACTATGATAATTTAGCTATTATGTTAAATCTAAAACATATTTATTATTATATGCATTTAATTTCAAAATTTCCGAAAGTAAACATAAATAAGTTCTAAAATGTTTAAATATATGTTAGAATGCATATGTGATTAATTTAATTTGTACTTTATAAAATAGGTTAAATTTAATTATTTTATATATACTTTATTGTAATAGTTAAATTACGTATGAATTATGTATTTATAAGCATTATAAATTTGTTTGTTTTAAAAATAACTTCAAACTGAATACATATTTCGTTGTTAACAAAGTAAAATAAGAACAGATTTATAATATACACATAAACATTAAAACAATAAACATCTACATTTTCAATAACGAAGATGTTAAAATATTTTCTCAGAATGCAATAGTAGAAAAAGTATATGTAAGGAAAAACATGAAGTTTACTATTACATTTTTCCCATAGATTGGACAAAGAACAATTTGAACATTTTCCCATTACCAAATTTCAGGCGGACACACGCATAAGAGAAAACGAGGCCGCCCACCTGGGTCGCGTAACAAACCAAAAGGTGTGTTCTTAGCCTCAGACTTATCCAACTGAGTTTTAAAGTGATCCTTTAATAGTAATAAAGTTATATCTATTCACAGCTCTTATGATTAATGATCCGCCAACATTCAAACCAAAGTTCTATGACTGTAAGTTTAATGGTTCGCATTAACTTATTGATATAATTACTTATGCATAATACAAGCTGAGTCTCAAGTTTTATCGTATAGGTGGTTGCGAGAAATGTGATTACTATGGTATGTAACCATACCTGGATAGTTTTATTGCATGATGAAACAAAGCTACCGTTCACTTTGCGTCGGCGACAGTTCTCCATCAGATTATGTTACGCAATGACAATCAACAAAAGCCAGGGTCAAAGTTTGAAAGAAGTTCTCTTATATCTACCTAATCTGGTCTTCGCCCATGGTCAACTATATGTGGTTCTCTCACGCGTGACAAGCAAATCAAGACTAAAAATCATTAAGGACCATGATTCGCACCCTCAGAAAGTGAAAAACATAGTCTACAAAGAGATCTTCAACCGGCTTCCTTCCGATGAAAGTAAGTAAAAATTTATACTTAGACGCAAAACTAAAAATAAAAATAAAGGGTTATTTAGCTGAAAAATCACAATTGTCTCCACAGTGCTCTAGCTGATAACACAAAAAAAAACTGGAAGCAAAAATGCTACCGTGATGATGGATATCTTCTCACCTCCAGGTACCTATACATATATTATGAAATAAATAAACATATTTCTATTAATAATAACTACTCACTAACTTATTTTAATTAATTTTCAGGCCCAAGTTCAAAAAAATCCCACCCAATCTACATCCTCTACCTTGAGAGTACCACCTGCTTCCCCATCATTAATATTTTCCCGTTGTTTAAGACTTTATAAGTTTGTTCTTCAAGATTATGAAAACTATCATCTATTTCTAAACATTATTTCACAAACACTTCTATTTCATTATGCATCAAACATTACTTACTACCTGCTTTATTCAATACAAGTTCTTTGGCTGAACATTTTTCGAAGTTATTAAAAGATATTATGTATAAAGCACCTGGTAATCTATATTAGCATCTAGGGTTTCCAACATTTTTAATCAACACTTTTTCTAAAAAATACATAATGACATAATAAATGTTTTTTCTCATACAAAATAACCCGGGAGTAGCCCGAAAAAAGGATCTAGTGTTATTAATGATTGAATAATGTAATGTCATAAATTCTATTAGATGGTCTATTTTAAAATATCACACACGAAGTGAAGTCATAACTTCTCTTTTAATATATAAGATTTTGTCACCAAATATTGTGACTTGCAATTCTTATATGATTTACTACGTACCATTAAGTAAGTATTCAATTTTTTAAGATATCTTTTAAAAACAAAAAAGTTGTAATCATTTACTTCTATGTTAAACATTATTTGACATAT